CGTCCTAGTGATTCTGAATGATGAATTGAAGCAACATCAAATATCCTCTCGAATGAGAGAGTTGTAGTCAAAATTTCTTAGAGTATGACGAAAAAAACTAAAAATGGAGCTTTGCTAGTAATCACTAACCTTCCACTGTGCAGTCGCTTTAACCTGAGATTAGACGATGCCATCATTTGTTTGCTTATAAGCACTAGTAATGCAGAGTTCAGTCTAAGGTGTACCCTCTTTAGTAGCGTACATTACTAAGATTTGTCGAAGGTTTTTCTTAATACTGCGTTGCCACATCAAAGTATAAATCTTATGATAGTTGTGTAGAGTCATTGCATTATGTGTATAAAATATTTTATTTTAATAAAATTATATGATGCGATCAAAACTAACAGACTTACCACCACCGCGTTATCGAATTTCAGAATGGTTACAGGCTCCTCGAGGACGTATGCAGATCTGAGATCTATTATTGCTTAGTGTGATGAAGTGATAAACCATAATCCAGTCAAGACGTAAAGAGGGGTTTTAAGAAACCTCGCAGTTAATAGAGATTTAAAGTACTCAAGTGCACTGACTCAACTAGCTTCAACATAATAATAATATAATCTACTTTGTAAAATAAAAGTAATAAGACCAGAGTTGTAAGCTTTAAAATACTGTATCACTAGTATTGATTATGAAGTTTAATCCCTTAATAATAATAACTTAACTGAATGTTATAAATACATTATTTGCGGTATTAAAAAAATGCATTTATTTGGAATAAATAGCAGCCTTTCTTAAGAGAAAATACTGGTTTTCTAATATTCATTATAACGCATCGCTGAACTTTAATTTAAAATATGTTTCAAAGCAAAACCATAAACATATAAGTTATACAAATACTGCGAATTGTTTGTTCTAAAGACAAACAGTACATTGTCCACAGCATCATCACTTAAGTACAACTCAATAAGTTCTCAAGGCAATTATTTCTTGCTTACCAAAGCAACTTAAATACAATAGAGAATAAAACAAAAAAAAACTCAAAATCCAATAGATTTTCCGAATTACTAAAAGCCAATAAATTCTGTTTCTTTTTCGGGGCATAAAGTGCGTTGTCAACAGAAACTAAATAAACGACATCAACAGGTCAACACAGGAATTTGTTGACGCATAGAACAAATGCCGCTAACACTCGATTTGCTCGCTAATTTATTGATTTGATTTGTTTTATTGGTGGCATTCCTCCGGAATTTGGTCGATTTGCACTTTTGCGGTTGTTAATGTTGTTGTTTGCCACGAAATGTGTGAGAATTGTTATGGCAATTTTTGTGGTCTTTCGATGGCGGTGTCATTAATTAATTAGGGTAACAATTTGTGGCTTTTTGAACTGCTAATCTCACTATTATATCGTTTTGATAAAGAATTTCGGCCAAACAGAATAGAGACAAGCAAACAAACAAATAAACAAAATTTATGTACCACACTGCGTATGAGTGACATTAAATTTTAAAATAATTTGCAGAACTCTTTAACCCCGCACACAAAGTTTGGAAATGTATACAGATATGTCTTGAAAAGAAACTGACACCTGTGTATGTTTAAATTTTTTAGAAAAATATTGTACAAAATGATTTTATGTTACAAATACCATAAATCAAAAATACCTACGAGCATTAGTAAAACGAAAATTTGAATTTTAAATTCCACAAACAAACGCACGCCGCCTGAGTAAAACAATGTTTAAGCCAGGCTAAAATTTTCCTCCTCGTTTCCCTCGTTTTTTGTTAGTTAAAACAATGTAGCTAAAATATTTGTACGGCTGGAGTGTCAGATATTTTGTACCCATTTCAGGTATAAAAATTTGATCCCGACTAAAATTTATGGCGGCAACAAAAAATGTAACATCACAAATAAAAATAAAAATAAATAGCAAAGAATAAATAGCAAAAAATGCAAAAATACATATACTAAAGTAGGAAAAATTTCGAAATTTTCAAATTCTATGAAATTCTATGAAAAACAAATATTTTAGGAGCTCTGCTATTTTAAGCGCAATTTGTGTAACTTTTACTACACATGCATGATGTGTACACATTTTAATATGTGTTTTCTCAACTTTTAGTTGGGAGTTTTCTTTATAAATTTTATCGAATTGGCGTTAACGCATTTGCCGCCTTTAGATTTGCTACGTGATTATATGCTGCGGCACGCAACCTTTTAGATTAGCGAGAAATTGCATGAGTTTCTGTTTTACGACTGCTGCAAATCTAAGGGAATAAAAATAAAATGGAATTGATCTATAAAAAAGTGACAAAATTATAGCGTGCACATACTCGTACATGAGTTTGTTGAAAATTTGATATATCGAAAAATCTGTTAAATTATTTAAAATTTCATTTTTCACAAAACGTTGACATTTTTATGACTTCGTCGCACAAGTGTCGTGCATAAATTTTGCATTTAACATGCTGCAAAAGTTTTTCTGTTGATGAGGCAATGCAAATATGCCAATTTTTTTAAAGGAATTAAATTTATGCACAAAATATTACAAAATATACTCGCAAAAAGCAATTCAAGAGATAGAGAGACTTCCAACGTATATGATGATATCAAAATAATTGATTTTTTTTTGGATTTTGAACCCATACTGCTTACACATGAAACTACTAGAATGGATAAAGCTTTAATTGATCAATGTGGAAGTGATAACTACGAAGGTGCTAAAGCATTGCATATTATTATTATAAACCACTAACACGATTTGTCAAATAAGTATAATGAATATATGGTAAGTATGGCTATTGAAGTACTTGAATTCATTCTGTTTTAAGGATTACTATATTATCAGATTCTGTGACTCTGCTATAAATACAATAACATAGGAGACACGAAGGCAATAAAAAGCCCGATGTTCTGGCCAAAAAGGGCGCAAAAATACCTTCCGTAGGCCTGAAACCATTCTGCGATGTTAATAACAACTTCAAAACCAGCCAAGTAAGCAAAAGGGAAACCTAATTGACTTCTGGAGCATCTAAAAAGGCAAGCGGCAGTCAAAACACCTTCTTATCCCTGAACATATAAAGACTGAAGCTGTTCTGAACTTAAGCAGAACAGATGTCAAACTCTATATGGAACTACTAAGAGGCCACTGTAGACTGCAATACCATCAGAAAAAGATTGCTCTAGCAGAAAACGATTTCAGTCGACACCTCTTGTTGCTCTTGACAACAGGAAACAACGGAATACGTGCTATGCGTTTGCCCAGCCTTGGCAAAAGACAGACTCAACTATCTAGGTAGTGGAATTTTGAGATATGAACACCTAGCTAAAATATGGCCCACAATTGTGACAAAATTTTCAAAGGTTTGGAAGTGAACAAGTTGAATTAATTGTAAAATTATTCCACAGTAAAAACAAAGTTGAATTACTGAAGTTTAAGCAACTGATTGATTCGTAAACATATGCCAGTAAGTATATTAGAATACATAAGTAAAGGACAAAAAAATTTTACTTGATTTATATAACAAACCCTTAAGTATTTGAAGTAATTGGTATTTATATCAAATTTTTGTTTTGGATTAACTTTTCTGGACTTAATATCGGAAACTGATGTAACAGGTTTCACAAGAGTCTAAAAGAAAATCAATGTATTTAAATTTTATAGGTGGCTGTTAAAAGATAAATTTGCGTATCGTCTAAACTCTTTATAGAATCTAATCAGTATAAGAGGTTGAGTGTTAAAACAAGAACAGTAGAATAGCACAACTGGTCTATGGACGATTTATGTGTCCACCTCAACAGTCTCAACTGGAAAACTTAACCTAATTACATAGTATTTTTGTAAAATTTTGTATAAGTAACGGATTTTAAGTAGCCTTCAATACTATCGGTTAACTTTCAAATTTTACTATACTATAGCGACTATAGTGACTTATGCTAGAGGAACCTATGTGAGATGATTATGGTCCTATACTGACTGTTATAGCGCCCAATGATGATAATAATTTTTTTTTTATTTTTGCATTCCTAAACCTAAACAGTTTGAATCTCATGTATTTATACATGAATCATACAATAAAACTTTGCAGACTGCATTGAAATTATGTGTAGCTGAAGTTGCTTGAAATTTTTTACTGAATCTCAAGAAATGTTCTTTCTTAAACGCAATAAAGTTTCTTTTCTTGCAGTTGTGAATGGGAAACTTAAAGTGGATTCCGACATAATCATTCGAAAAATAGTTG